TGTATCATACCCTGCAAAATCATGCCCGCTCTTCTTACATTTCCGCGGGCTTTCCAATGAGACCGATCAAGGCGGACGTGATGCGCTCGATGGCATCGAAGGAAGGGCAAGGCTCCTGCTCAGTGGCGGTTATGGCACCCACGTCCACGCCGAAGACGGCCAGCGCGACGATGTCGTGCGTGAAGCGGGCGAAGCTGTCCCTGGACGTCACCACCTCTCCGGCGTCGGCCTTGTCCCCCAGCTTGCCGCAGAAGCGCTCGCCGACCTTGGCGATGATGGGCAGCATGGCCGCGACGTTGTGTCCGTTGAGGTTGGGCGAGATCAGCCGCCGGGAGCGACCCCAGGTCTTCCCCTCCTCGAAGAACAGGCTGCTCTGCACCCCGACCTATCGGCACAGAATAGATGCAGATGTGCATAGATAGATGGGTCTCGCGGTGAAGAGACCACGTATACGGCGGGGTTCGAGGCTGATTACATGCGTTTTTCTTCTCTGAAAACAACTTCTTTTGAAGGCGAACTCAACCGCCAAAAGCCCTAGATTGGGACGATGGACGGATAAATGACATCAAATCCACAACAATGCACAGCAGCAGCACCGCTGTGACGTACGAGCTTTGTGCAGCATGAAGGAGGCTCCGAGATATCTCCACATTACGCAGTAAACACACCCGCCGGGTTAAACAAAATGCGCTCGGGGTGGTGGGGAGGCTAGGGAATTCAAGAAGGGAGTACCAAGATGACGGGACGCGTTTTATTTGCTATTCGAAACGCACCCCAGCTATGAACCTTAACCTTGGTTCTTCTTGCTTATTGTGCCTCTCAGGGGAGCGTCAATCCCCCCTGTTCGTGCCGCCTGTTTCTTGTAGCCAGGAATAATAGATCCGCGTTTCGTTCCGAGACTCTTCCGCTTACAGTCGAGATGTCGGTATAGTGCGGGTACGTATCAAACCAAAGAACCCGCACTATATCGACCCCGCGCACTTTATGATTTCGGGCGTGTTTAGTGCGGGTTACCGCACTATTCACGGTTCTCCAAAGCCTCAATAGTGCGTCTTCCCGCACTGTTCGCCCTATAAACTAGAAAACGTACTGTAGAGGGTATTTATTTTTTTATTTTTTTCTCTCATCATCGGACTCTGTCGTCTGCCCCTCCGGCCCCTACCATCCACTTCTACCAGCTAGGCGACCCAACCGGGGTCACACAGGAGGGGGGGGGTTGGACCCCCTCCTGCGGTTCTTGCCTGAGATATTTTTTATCGCGCGAAGGGTACAGCAATCCCTTCCCTCGCGACTTATGAAGTCGATCAAGTTTGCTAACAACGAGCTTTGCAGTCATCGCTTCCAACGGAGACCAGGATGTAATAAGCGAGAAAAAACTCACACTGTCGGGACTCGAACCCATGACCTGGCCCTTAGCAGGCTGCGANTGCCTGAGATATTTTTTATCGCGCGAAGGGTACAGCAATCCCTTCCCTCGCGACTTATGAAGTCGATCAAGTTTGCTAACAACGAGCTTTGCAGTCATCGCTTCCAACGGAGACCAGGATGTAATAAGCGAGAAAAAACTCACACTGTCGGGACTCGAACCCATGACCTGGCCCTTAGCAGGCTGCGAGGCTACTCACTAGACCACCGGGGCGACCGGCTGTGTGTGGCATGTGTAGCCATCAACAAGGCGAATGAAGGTGGCACAGCGGTATAGTGCACGCAACACGTGAGGGAATACATAAAATGGGGCGATATTGGATAGATGCCTGCGTTCGTTTGTGGGTGAGACGAGACGACTAAGCATGTACTTATGCTGCGCCGCGGTGGGAAAATATGTAACCACAATTATGCACCGTATATTAGAGCAGAGGAGAGCATACTTGATTTCATGACATGCAGAGTGTGCTCTGAATGCACAATATGCCTCATTGGTGTTGTTGCTTCATTATATTTGCGGTGATTCCTCCTGAATATTATTCAAAGGTTCAGAGGAAAACAGCTACACCAGCCAAGAGCCAGGGAATGCAATACGTTCGCACACGCGACCGAGGAGCACCTTTGAAAACCAGCTTGCCGAGACACTCCGAACTCCAAACTACACCCTCAACTGCGAAAAGCAAACGGGGAAACACAAATAAATCCAAACAAAAAAGACCCTGCTTCTCAGTTTCTTTAACAAAACGTCCCGCAAAAACACAGAACGAAAAAAACGGCGATGGAAACGTGCAATAAACCCACATTCCACACGTGAACTGCATACATATGTACACCCCAATATAGACTGATTCCCACCCTACAAACAACGAACAGTCAAATATAACACACACACGTGTTACATTTTGTATTCTACGAGAGGGGAGGGGAGGGGAGGGGAGGGGTATGGTATACTGTGCTGCTGTTATGCGGCAGGGGTAGGGTGTGTGGCGTAGTTGTGTCGAGAATGTGCGTGTGTTTGGCCGGTCTCAGAGTAGGGCGACGTCAGGACCCGCACCATAAAGGGTCTGGCGGAGACCAAACCCGCACTATAGCGGTACTACGCAGTGCGGCACCCGCACTATAGAGAGGTCTAAGTCGTGTCAAGCAAAAACACCCGCACAATACCGACCTACCCGCACTATACCGGCACCTCGACTGTATCGACATCGCGAGCGCTTAAGACTACTTCCTCGACTACTCGTGCAAGGGCCCTTATCTGTCAGCACGGACTTACTTGACAGGATTTTATACCACACGTTGGCGCGGGCATCTGCTCTTCGTCATCCTCGTAAAAAAACGCTGTTAGTCCGGGAGGAATCGAACATGGTGAAAACCGTGATTGAATTCTTGTGTCTACTGCTGTAGTTGAAAGCGACCTAGGTCGTGAGTGAACACACTTTGGCTTCACGATCGACGAGGGAAAGGCATGGCTGAACCCTGCTCGCGATAAAAGCTTAAGGCAAGCACCTCAGCGGGAAAGGTGGGGCAACTAAACAAACATGATAAAACTCCTGTGTGACCTTCCTCTCGTGTGACCCCGGCTGATAGGTCAGGTATATACGCCGAAAGCCCAGAAAACCGGCGCCAGAATAGATGGGACGAACACACACACACACACACACTGCTGCCAAGTCCTTAAGTCCTAATGATCCAACCGACCTGTTCAGCGGCCCATTTGGTCTGGTTCACCACGATACCCCGCTTGAACCTCGACGGTCGGAGGGTCAAGATCCGCCTGATGTCGGAGAGGCCCGTTACGACGGTAACCTTGTTGCCCGCCACGTACAACTCGTAGTCGCCTCCGAACTCCTTCGCCCACCCCTCCAGCTGCGACATGCTCTGTTCGTTGCAGAGGTGTAGGGCGGGGGCAGGGGGTGGGGGGGGGAGGGGCACCGCCCGAGAGTGTCAAACAACAGGCAACATACGATTTATCCTGGATGGAAAACCCTAAAAGTGTGTCGCCGTCGTTGTCTTTGTGATGCATGGTTCGTCGCATCCATCTGCAGCCTGTTTCCTTTCCTCGACCATGAGCATCGCATGACGCGACACGCCCTTCAATCCCGGTCATGGCTGGCACGGCGAGATCCTGGGCATATCTGCCTCATCAAGGCATGGAACCCAACCCTTATTTCTTCACCCGTCACCACAACTGAATTTCACGTGTTTCCGTCCCACTCGCGAAAAAAATAGTCTACATGCACGAGTAGAATGTTGTATCCGCAGGCAAAGGGTGGCATCGTAGATTAGAGTGGAATTTTGCCGTGCGACCCCGGATCGTAGCTTCTGAGAGGAACAACCGCACGGACAGGGTATATACACGCTGCGAGCGATGGCGATAGAAGACAGGGTTACACTGCGAGGGAAGGTGATATCACGGGTTTTCATCAGGGAAGAGTGCATGCGCCTCACAAAACGCCTTAAGAAAGTGACTGCGGTTACCATCTCTTGCTAAACCGTCCTCCAACCACGTTTGCACCGAGGTAAGTCCAGCGACGTGTAGGTGCAGGTAGTTGCGCTGGAGAGTCCATCGGATGTCAACAACGAAAAAAAAATGCGCAAGGCAAGGGATACAAATGCTGGTTCGAAGTCCATTCGGCTTCGCGTGACTGTGCCGAGATTCGAACCAACGTCCCACACGCCCGAAAAATGCGGGGTGATGACAAGTGTAATTTAAACCACTTTGGGGGCTGTACCAGCTCACCTTCCAAAAACGTTTACTGCATTAACGGTCGGTAGAATACATGCACGCAGAACGAGCATCTACACACCAAATTAGGGCGTACACCTCTGAAGCAAACATCTCATAGTCACGTTCAACTACTAGTTCACTCAGAAAACAGAAAATAGTGCAGAAGGAAACGCCTGAATAAATAGGAAAATAGAGCGGGTTCGCATCTCGGATGTGCGGCAATTTTCATTATTCTACCCCTGGCAGTAGTTTGGCTGCGATAAAATCGCCCGAGAATTCTGAATTCTGCGTCTATTCCACCTGGTAAAATAACTTGGAACATGTACGAAGGACAAGGCCCGAAGGACAAGGCTACATGCTTGGAAGTAGTACATGGCATACATGTGCTAGCCTTGGGATAAAACAACACCGCCATCACATCAACGGTGTTCCTACAGACTAGATTTGTAAATAGCAACCTGCACACGGCAGTGGTTTGACGTTTCTCATCTCCTGCGGGCCCGTTCTATATGTGTGTAGTGCATGAAATACATACGGTCGGAACAAAACGCAGCAAACCCCAACCAACCGGATGGTTTCTGGAATTTTTCGGCATCCAAAGGGAAAAATGGATGGTAGATCGGTTAGACTATCCGGCGTGGCGGCGGTCGTGAGATACTGCCGTAACCCGGGAAAAAAAAATGAACGGCAAATCGGCAAAAACACCCTTGGCAGAGGGAAAAGCAGCAATCAGAGGTGACCGAATTAACTACGGCAACGATACGCCGGAAGGATGTTTAAGAGCGGCCTAACTATGCAGCGCTCGCGCAATAAAGCGTTAAGCGACAACCCCACCGGTTCCTCGTTCCTCGTCGTGCTGCGCGTGCCGTAGAAAATCTGTGACATGGCCACTGCTGTCAAACCAATCTGATCTGTGCGATGCACAAAAAGAAGCCTACTAATACTTCTCCCGTTTTTCCAGCGTTCAATAACCGGTTGTACAGCTTACCCCACACCCCCCGAAGAATCTAGAGAGAGAGAGAGAGAGTCACGTAGGTCGGGGGAGGGAGGGACGGGGGGAGGGAAGCCCCTGTTTCGCGGCGAAGCGGCCAGGGCAGTTCGACGCCTCTGATTGTGCCGGAAATAACACTCCGCATGGATAATGGATGCTGCTGAAGACAACAAAATACACCGCTGTCACAGGAATGATGACGTCTTTCGCCACACGCATCACGCATCATCACCAACCCAAGCCACCACGCTACATGACTGGCCGCTGGGTTCACCACCACTACTATAGACTGTGCGCACCTCTCCTCGCCGAAAGACCAGCGTGTGGCCTCCGATAAAGCCGCACCACCGTGGGAGCGCGGGCATCGGTGACGGCAGGCTGCGGTCGCTGCTGGCGTGAGATCGTACGAAGTTCTTGACGCGAGCCGCTTCCGATGATCGCCACCACCAGTAGTAGCTCAGGGCAACCCAGGCCAGCATTGCGACCGATCCCACGACCACTACCTCCACTTTTCTGCCGGCTAGATACTCCATCGTTGCCTTCGTTGGGATGTGGCTCTGCGCACACCACCTCGAGTTGCACTGTTGTTGTGATCATACGTGCACCAGCTCTTTGCTTCTACGCGAGGGGGCTCTGCGCTGGGAATCATTAGGAAGAACACCGCCCCCCAAGGGTAACGCACTACGTAGTATAAACAACCCATTGCTTGTGCTTTGTTTCCTTCTGATATTTGTTCATGACCTTTGGCTTGTTGAGACCGGAAGAAACTAAAGGACAGCAGGCAAAGGAGGCAGAGCTAACGTAACGTGAAGAGGAAACGGAGGCAAAAAAACGCTGGGAGCGGCGCTGAACGCCACCCGGACGAGACGCACGCACGCAACCAAGAGGGTGCTGGTTGGAGGTTTACATCCCCAAGCCTCCTCCACACACCGAAAATGAATATGGATGTTCTCCGAATACGGACACTTCCAGCGGCTCTCCTAGCTTCTTCGGTGACAGGCCTCGCGTCAGCATCGGTGAGTCTGAGGGGGGGAAGTATGTGATCTTGCTCTTGCATGTGTCATCGTCTTGTGCGTGCTGCTTGCGTTTTGGTTGTGTCCGCTCGAAGGTATGACTTTAAAGATCCACTGGGACCCCGCTGGAAAATTCCAGCTGGAAAATTCTATCGGGCGCTGAGAGCGCTCCATTTATCTCGGCGTTTGAAGGCCCTCCCTCTGTTGTAGGCCTTTGCTCCATCGGCCGCGGCCAAAAGAGCCGATTTCTGAAAATTTCGGCCGGAAAACGGCGAAGAAAACACGGCCGATTTTTCAAACAAAGCAGCCGATTTTGGCCAGGGCTCAGCCGAATTAGGATTGCCTGTGTGTAGCAGATTTTCTGTCGGCTACTAGGGCAGCGTTCCGATTTCAACCGGCCGAATATCGAAAATCGGNAGGATTGCCTGTGTGTAGCAGATTTTCTGTCGGCTACTAGGGCAGCGTTCCGATTTCAACCGGCCGAATATCGAAAATCGGTTGCCCAACTCCCCCCTTCCCTCCATAAATGTAAATGCAATATTGGTTTGGGGGGTACCTATCATATTTTGCACTAAGGGGGGGGGTCTTTGGTCTTTAGTTACCAAGAACACAGCAACAAGCATAATAGGTTACAGGAGAGGTATGCGCGAGGCGCAATAGTATGTTAAAATCGTACATGTACGGCTAAGGCCGAGAAGAAAATTGCACAATTTGTGAAGGCCGAAAAAAATTGAGGTAGCGGCAAGGTAGCGGAAATGAATCAGGGCGGCCGAAAAAGAAAAAAAAAGGGGCCGAAAAAAAAAAAGGCAGAAAATAAGAAAAAAAAGGGGCCGATGGAGCAAAGACCTACTACTCTGTTGCATACCGTAAACTAGTACTCATAGTCGTGCATGCCGTAGTCGTTAGACCATTGACCTCGCATCCCTACAAAGCCGGGA